CAAATTCTTGACAGTATGTTTTTATTGTGTAATATAGTCAAGCATAATTTTTTAATGTCTACTTTTATTTCATTTTACATGCCTTGGATGTTAACATATTAATTTCCCAAAGCATATTTACTGGCTACTGACCATGTAGTAGGTCATATGTTGAATATTAACAATTCTAAGATTAAAAATACAGATATGTCCAGACGCAGTGGCTCATGCCTGTAATCTCAGCACTTTGGGAGGCGGAGGCAGGCAGATCACTTGAGGTCAGGAGTTCAAGACCAGCCTGGCCAACGTGGCGAAACTCCATTCTACAAAAAACACAAAAAACCGGGTGTGGTGGTGTACAGCTGTAATACAAGCTACTCGGGAGGGTGAGGTATGAGAATCACTTGAACCTGAGAGGCAGAGGCTGCAGTGAGCCAAGACTGCACCACTGCACTCCGGCCTAGATGAAAGAGTGAGACCCTGTCTCCAAAAATAAATAAAAAGAAGAATACAATTATTGCTCTGTAGGAGATGATGGTGTATTGGGGAAGAGAAACCATAAAGAGAGAATTATGACAGAATTGTAATGTTTTAGTGAGATGAGTAATTCCTGTGATGGAAATACAGATAGGGTACTGTCGAAGCATTTAGATAGTAGCCTGGTGGTGATAAGAAGTGTTAGGAAAGGCTTTCCAAAGAAGCAATTGCCTGAGGAAAAAGTGGAACCTAGTCAGGCAGTGCGAGAGGAAGGGACATTCTGGGCAGAGGAAAACAATATACAAGGGGCACAGGGCCTGTGAAAACATGGACTGCAAGCAGATGATCTTATTGCATATAGGGTGGTGATAAGGAATGAGGCAGACAAGGGCCAAATCATGAAGAGCCTCATGTGCCATGCTGAGGCCTGTCTTAAATATTAAAATGACTTCTTTTATGCATTCATCACTTTGAGTATCAATTATAAAAAGACTTTCCTAAAATATTTAAGTTTAAAAAAAATGCTTAAAGAAGAAAAATCTGCCTTTTATTTCTTGATTCAGTTAAAAAGAATTGTCTTGTTTCTGCTGAATAATTGCATTATTAAAAAATGTGTGAGCCAGGCGCAGTGGCTCACGCCTGTAATCTCAGCACTTTGGGAGGCTGAGGCATGTGGATCACCTGAAGTCAGGAGTTCGAGACCAGCCTGGCCAACATGGTGAAACCCCATCTCTACTAAAAATACAAAAAAATTAGCTAGGCGTGGTGGCGGTGCCTGTAATCCCAGCTACCCAGGAGGCTGAGTGAGGCAGGAGAATCGCTTGAACCCAGGAGGTGGAGGTTGCAGTGAGCTGAGATTGAGCCATTGCGCTCCAGCCTGGGCAGCAAGAGTGAAAACTCCATCTCAGAAAAGAAAAAATGTGTGTGGTACTTCAACCAGTCTTGAAGAGAATGCAGAACTGGAAAGAAGAATAGACATAGAACACCCACAACACATGGATGGAATAAAATCTAAGCATGTCTTTTTAAGTTATAGCTGTCTAGCAAAATTATATATATTCTTTTCCCACTCATCATCTATTCGTTCAAAAATACTGTTTTGGCCTCTATTATATGTCAGATACTGTGGTAAATACTGAGGTTACAAGAATATAAAAGGCCCCAATCCTTGGTTGAAATGATGACCACAGAGTAGAATCTAAGGAGATTTCTCTGGATTTCATCTTCATGGTCTGTAACTGTACATAATTGTCTCTTCCTACTCCTGGTGGGTTTTTGTTGTTGAGTATTTTTTGTTTGTGTGGTTTTTTGGTTTTTTGAGACAGAATCTTACTCTGTCACCCAGGCCTGGAGTGCAGTGGTGTGATCTCAGCTCACTGCAACCTCTGCCTCCTGGATTCAGGCGATTCTTGTGCCTCAGCTTCCTAAGTAGCTGAGATTACAGGCATGTGCCACTATGCCTAATTTTTGTATTTTTACTAGAGATGGGGTTTTGCCATGATGGGCAGGCTTGTCTTGAACTCCTGGCCTCAGGTGATTCACCTGCCTTGGCCTCTCAAAGTGCTGGGATTACAGGTGTTGTGCTTGGCTTTTCTTTTCTTTTTTTTCCCTCTGAAACGGAGTCTCGCTGTTGCCCAGGCTGGAGTGCAGTGGCACAATCCGGGCTCACTGCAACCTCTGTCTCCTGAGTTCAAGCAATTCTCCTGCCTCAGCCTCCCAAGTTACTGGGATTACAGGTGCCTGCCACCATGCCCTGCTAGTTTTTGTATTTTTAGTAGAGACAGGGTTTCACCATGTTGACCAGACTGGCCTCTAACTCCTGACCTCAGGTGATCCTCCCACCTCGGTCTCCCAAAGTACTGGGATCGCAGGCATGAGCCACTGCGCCTGGCCAGCCTTTTTTGGTATTTTGTTAGGATTTTGTTGAACTTAAGAGGAAAAAAAACATAACATTTAGTAGTGTCAGTAAGTGTTAGACCACACTGGGTGTGAAGTAGGCCCTGTGCTTTATGGGTAGAACCAGAGAAAATGGGTGCCACTCTGTCCTTAGGAAACTCACAGAGAGGAGAGACAGTACAGGGGCCAGGGGCCATAATCGAGTCCTGTGACGGTGCAGAACTTCAGTTAGTTCTAATTAGGGCACAGCTTCTACACCTAGGGGGCATCCAGCCGACTTCAGGGGTTTCAGGTCAACTTTTCATCCTCACCCCATCTCCGCCCCTGGGATAAAAGACCCTTATTGCCTACAGTTCAAACATCTGCCTGATTATTCCTAGCAGAGTGGTAGGAACTGATTGTCTGGTCTCTTCTACTACCCGCCTCACCTGCACAGAGAGTGCCAGCTGTCTCAGCCTAGCTTCTTCAGTGGGCCTCAGCTGATAAAATGTGTGTGTCCACCCCAGGTAATTAGGTTATTAGCTCTTTGTGCTTGTATGGCTGACCCCTACCTTTCAGGCCACCTGGTGTTTGTTTTAGAAATTATTCCTGTAAACAGGTTTTCACCTAAAATTTGAATCTTTATGAATCAAATAAGGAAAATTTTAAGTAAACTTGGGCTGTGGATAACTGATGATTCATTACCAAAAAGGTAGTCATTTAAAATTATAAAATGACACAAGAAAAAATTTAAATGTAAAACATCCTGTTTATGCTTGGTCAGGTCTTTGAGTTGATGTGACTCAAGTAACATCTGATCATTTCCTTAACCTTTTTTAAAAGACTCCCCTAAATTCTTCCTCCCAAAGATTTTACTGTATTTGTTCACAATGGATTCTGTGAAAGGATTATTACAAGCTCACAATCCATTGTCTTCAATTCTTAAATCCAAAAAATTCTAAAAACCAAACATTCTTTTTGTAACTCATTCATCAGCAAAACCAGACCTGAACCAGAGTGACCCTATTCATATTCTTTGATTATCTGTCCTACTGGGACATACATGGTTTGCTACAGAAATTCTAATGTATTTGATTATAGGATACTGCCCTAGATAGTTCATGTATGTGGTATATGCACCATATTGCTTTTTTAAATTAAAAAATCTGAATTCTAAAACATATCTACTACTTTTTTTTTTTTTTTTGAGACAGAGTCTCGCTCTGTAGCCCAGGCTGGAGTGCAGTGGCACGATCTCGGCTCACTGCAAGTTCCGCCTCCTGGGTTCACGCCGTTCTCCTGCCTCAGCCTCCCGAGTAGCTGGGACTACAGGCGCCCACCACCACGCCTGGCTAATTTTTTGTATTTTTAGTAGAGATGGGGTTTCATCATGTTAGCCAGGATGGTCTCAAACTTCTGACCTTGTGATCCGCCCACCTTGGCAGATCACCTTGTGATCCCCAAAGTGCTGGGATTACAGGCGTGAGCCACCACGCCCGGCCAACGTATCTACTTCTAAACATTTAAATAGGAATTGTGGACATACGTAAGTATAAAGCAGCCGTTGCAGAGTGGTTTAAAAGGCTACTTTACTGTTGTGGGGAGCTTTTAAATTTGATAAACTAATGAGTTCATGTAAATAAAACATAACAAAAACACTAATCCTTAATTTTCTGTTAACTCAGGAATTCCCAGCTGTGATAGTTTTGTGGTTGGGGTAGACATAGGAAGTGTGACTATGAATGCATGTATCTGTTTGACTTCTTGTACTCCCAAAGTAAAGGCTAAAATAAGTATAATCAGCTAACTAAAAGCTATAGCCACGATCATATATACCGTATAAGAGAAAAGCCTCTGATGGAGGTTGCCGTAAGCCGAGATCATGCCACTGCACTCCAGCCTGGTTAACAGGGCAAGACTGTCTCAAAAAAAAAAAAAAGAGAAAAAGAAAAATGCCTCTGAATTGGGAATTGTGTGAGCATGCATGTATAAAGAAGTGATCAAAAATGTTATACTGGCCGGGTGCAGTGGCTCACGCCTGTAATCCCAGCACTTTGGGAGGCTGATATGGGCGGATTGCTTGAGGTCAAGAGTTCAAGACCACCCTGGCCAACATGGAGAATCCCCATCTCTACGAAAAATACAAAAATTAGCCTGGTGTGGTGGTGGGCGCCTATAATCTCAGCTACTTGGGAGGCTGAGGCAGGAGAATCGCTTGAATCCAAGATGCGGAGGTTGCAGTGAGCTGAGATCGCACCATTGCACTGCAGCCCGGGCAACAAAGTGAGACTTCATCTCAAAAATCATCATCATAATAATGTTACACTGTATCTTGTACATTTTTAGTGGGATAAATGCCAAGAGCAGTTTTATTAGTTCTTGATTTCGCCACACTTTAAGAGAATATAAGTTCGCCTACCCATGATTTTAAGAAGCAAAGAGTGTGATGATGTTTCCCACCTACCCACACTCCCTTAAAACTATTCAAATGAAACCATTTAATTATTTAATTATAGTGGAATAGAACTGAGCTATTTTCTGCATGATCATAAAGAAATATTTACTTTTAACGCATAAATTTTTTTCTTAAAATCCACATTTTCCAGCCTAATGAAGTGATTATGTTTTTCCTTGCACTCTTCTCCTCCCTTTTTCCTTGTTCTGCGCAGATTATCAACGCCTGATGACTGTGGCGGAAGGCATCACCACACTTTTGTTCCCGTTTCAATGGCAACATGTTTATGTGCCCATCCTACCTGCTTCTCTGCTACATTTTCTTGATGCTCCTGTCCCTTACCTGATGGGCCTTCAGTCAAAAGAAGGAACTGACCGTTCTAAACTAGAACTTCCTCAAGAGGTAAAACTACAATGAATGGTGAAGCATTTGCTGTTTGCTGATTTAGGTCAAGGTGACTTTTGCTAAATCACATTGTCTTTGTCCAAATTTTTTTTTTTTTTTTAGATGGAGTCTCGCTCTGTCGCCCAGGCTGGAGTGCAGTGGCCAGATCTCAGCTCACTGCAAGCTCCGCCTCCCGGGTTTGCGCCATTCTCCTGCCTCAGCCTCCTGAGTAGCTAGGACTACAGGCGCCCACCACCTCGCCCGGCTAGTTTTTTGTATTTTTTAGTAGAGACGGGGTTTCACCGTGTTAGCCAGGATGGTCTCGATCTCCTGAACTCGTGATCCGCCTGTCTCGGCCTCCCAAAGTGCTGGGATTACAGGCTTGAGCCACCACGCCCGGCCTTTGTCCAAATGTTATCTGTCTTTTTGACTCTCCTAAATCTCCAAGTATGGCTAGGGGAGAGCCTCAGCTATAGAATGCAGACTCCTGATGATAACTACCACATAGTCATTAACTAAACCTGGTTCAAAACAAGACAGTGGCTGATTTTCACAACTATAAATTTGTGAAGATGGAGCAGTGGTAGCATGATCTCATTGCTTTATTCTGGTAACATTTTTTTTCTTCACTCATGTTATAAATTTTGTTTTTAAACAATACAACCCAGGTTTTAACATCCTTTAAAATCATTATCATTTGAGGTGAATTTGATTTTTGACCTCTGTCAACTGAAAAGTAACATGTTGCAGCAAACTAGGGATAATGGAAATATCAAATACTTCAGTATTCTCTGTTTTCAGATACAGGGCCCATTATCTGTTCTAAATGTCAGCTTGGCTTGGCGGTTGAGATAAAAATTCTAACACCTAACTTTTATGCCACCTTAAAGTTATTATACTTTCTGTGTGTTGTACTTTCAAATGTTTAAAAAAATAGACCAGGCGCGGTGGCTTATGCTTGTAATCCCAGCACTTTGGGAGGCTGAGGCAGGTGGATCACAAGGTCAAGAGATCCATCCTAGCTAACATGATGAAATCCGTCTCTACTAAAAATACCAAAAATTAGCCAGGTGTGGTGGCACGCACCTGTAGTCCCAGCTACTTGGAAGGCTGAGGCAGTAGAATCGCTTGAACCCTGGAAGTGTAGGTTGCAGTAAGCCAAGATCACACCACTGCACTCCAGGCTGGGCGACAGAGCGAGACTCCGTCTCAAAATAAATAAATAAATAAATAAACAAGAATTATTGAAAGCATATTTCTGATCTATAAAATAAGAATAATAACACCTCCCACGTGTTGTTTTTACTTTTTTTTTTTTCTTTGCTTTTCTTTTCTTTTCTTTTGAGACGGAGTTTTGCTTTTGTTGCCCAGACTGGAGTGCAATGGCAGGATCTTGGCTCACCGCCTCCTGGGTTTAAGTGATTCTCCTGCCTCATCCTCCCAAGTAGCTGACAGGCACCACCACGCCCAGCTAATTTTGTATTTTTAGTAGAGACGGGTTTTCTTCATGTTGATCAGGCTGGTCTCAAACTCCCGACCTCAGGTGATCCGCCCACCCCTGCCTCCCAGAATGCTGGGATTACAGGTGTGAGCCACCACACCTGGCCTAATTTTTACCTATTGTTAATGGTACTGAGGATTACCATGTAAAGTCTTTGAAATGAAATATGGATGAGAACGTGCCATAACTTTTTTAAAAAGCTGATTAATTACATTATATCACTAGCTATTTAATTCACATCTTTCTTAATAGAATATCATGCTGAGATTCACCTTTATTTGTTCTTATTTCCCAGAGATTCTCATTTTAATAAGTGAATTTAACACTAAGCCATAGCCATTGTATTCTGTAGTGATTCTCATAATCTTCCACTGCTTACTTTTATTCTAATGAATATTTCCCCACAAAAATTAACATTTTTACCCAAAGGAAAATAACTTGATTCAGATCACATAAGATACATATACAGACTGTTGTTCTTTTTGGGCTTGTGCATGTTTTTCTTCTCTGTTTTACCTCTTTTCTCTATTCCTTAAATGTTCTTGTTTTCACTTTCATTAAATTAGTCTAGTATGTTATTTACTCAAAGAAGTTAATCCTTTAAATTTTCAAGGAAAAAGAAATAGACTAGCCAAATGCATTTTGTTTTGAAGACTTAATGATATTTTAGTTTCTTGTTGAGTGTCTGATCTATTGTGTATGTTAATCATGTAACATTTTATAAGATAACTTTATGTATATTGTCTTTCCATTTTTTGTAACAATTGTTGAGAGATTTTTCAGTGCCACCTTGACATATCTGTAGTTGGGAAACTTTTCCATCTCTGTGCCTGTGTGTATCCACTAAAGATAAACAAATGTAAGGATTCTGAAAGCTCTTAAAGTAATGTCTGTGATTTTCTAATTTTTCATTCATGAGATCTACACTGCTTAATAAATACATATACCCATCTGTTCATAGAGTAGAATAATATGAAATAACCTGAATTCACTGTGAAAATAGCAGTGCTTCTGTGTAGAAACTATAAATTAGGGCATCATTGTTTTATAAGAAAAGGCTAACAGCCTATCACTTTGTTCTGGTATCATTTTACAATGAGATGAAATAATCTGCTTCACATAATTTTGGGAAGGAAGTAGATATAAAAATAGTCATTTAAAAAAATTACTTAAATGCACTCACTAGTAATACTTCCCTCCACCTTTCCCTGAAAACTCTAAAATAAAATAATGGCTAAAAATAGTGACAAGGCTTCTAAACATAGTTTTAAAAAATGACGTTTGCAAAATAATTATTTTAAGAAGGTATGATTTTAGTTGCTAGCTAACTGATGTAACTACATAGATTTGTAAATTAATCATCAACTAGCTATCCCCATGATTTAAAAGTGATAGCCACAAGTAACCATTTGTAATACTGTTTTTTAGGGAGTAGGATATAGAGAGTGAGGGTGGAAGGAAGGCACTGAAGATTAATTGCATGGAATGCACCTCACTTTCTACTGTTCTTACTCATCTTCACAGTAACTGGTAAACAAAAAGTTAAGAGAAAAACTGAAACAGTTGCTTTTGCAACTTTGTTTTTGTCATATCTTGCCCAGAGAGTCTGAGGGAATTATTTATTTTTCAGACAGGGTCTCACTCTGTCACCCAGGCAGGAATGTGGTCGCACAGCTCACTGCAGCCTTGACCTCCTGAGCTCAGGAGATCCTCCCACCTCAGCTTTGTGAGTAGCTAGGACAAGAGGCACATGCCACCACACCCAGCTAATTTTTTAAAGTTATTATTTGTAGAGATGAACTCTCGCTACATTGCCCAGACTGGTCTTGAACTCTTGGGCTCAAGTGATCCTCCGGCTTTGGGCTCCCAAAGATTACCAGCATGATCCACAGCATCTGGTCCAGAGGGAATATTTTAAATGCTCTCCTCTCTCCGGCTTACCCTCAAGCTGGCTTAATTTCAGACACTGAGAAGTGAGGTCACTTACTAAACATGAAGAGAGCTGCATTAGTCTCAATACTTCCTGCTCCAGCCTGCAGTTTTAGGGTTCCCAGAAACGACCATCTCCTCAGAGTTTATTCTTTCATTTGCCGAACAGTTGTCTCATACACTATTTGTGTAGAATACAGTGGGAGACATCAAGTCAAGTAAGAGGTGATTTCTGCTTTTCAAAAAAGTCGTTTACAAATACCAATAACACAAGTTAAAAAGTAAGTTAGTAAGAGGAATAAATGAACAGAGAAGATACAGGTGAGATCAGAATGCCTTTAGGGTAAGGGTATAGAAAGGTTTCATGGCAGAAGATATGATTAAGCTTTAAGCCTTTGTTTTCTTACTTTTGACGGAATTTTTTTTTTTTTTTTTTTGAGACGGAGTCTCACTCTGTTGCCCAGGCTGGAGTGCAGTGGCACCATCTCAGCTCACTGCAACTTCCACCTCCCAGATTCAGCTATTCTCTTGCCTCAACTTCCTGAATAGCTGGAATTACAGGTGCACGCCACCACACCTAGCTAATTTTTGTATTTGCAGTAGAGATGGGGTTTCACCGTGTTGGCCAGGCTGGTCTTGAACTTCTGACCTCAAGTGATCCACCCACTTCGGGCTCCCAAAGTGCTGGGATTACAGGCGTGAGCCACTGTGCCCTGCCACTTTTGTTGTTGTTTTGTTTTTGAGACGGAGTCTTACTCTTTTGCCTAGGCTGGAGTGCAGTGGCGTGATCTCAGCTCACTGCACCTCTGCCTCCCGGGTTCAAGTGATTCTCCTGCCTCAGCCTCCCCAGTAGCTGGGATTACAGGCGCCTGCCACTACGCCCAGCTTATTTTTTGTATTTTTAGTAGAGACCAGGTTTCACCATGTTGGTCAGACTGATCTCAAACTCCTGACCTCGTGATTCGCCCACGTTGGCCTCCCAAAGTGCTGGGATTACAGGTGTGAGCCACCGAGCCCAGCCCACTTTTGTTGTTTTTAATAGGAAGTAAGTAGTTACATATCATGAAGGCTTGTGAGTAGTGTTGATAAGTAGAAATATTTAGTCCTAAAGCAATGTCAGATTGAGGTGTTGAGTAAATTTTTATCATGCAATACTCTTCTGATTTTTTTTTAAATTTAATGGTGTTAAAAGTGAGAAGCAACTTATCAGAATGCCCTATTATAGAGTTCTTGTTTATTTCGGAGAAAGGGCTTCTTTTTAGTTTTCTTCAATACATTTTCATAACACAGTTTGTATTTCCTGTTCTACTTTGTGATAATCAAAGCCCCAGCTTGGGCCCTTCCTAAGCAGACATAGGAGACTTTTGTGGGATCATGAAGACAGACCAGTAGCTGTGATGTTGGAACTCCTACCTTGTAGTACACTTTCAGCTCAGCAGTGATTTCATGACCGTAATAAGCTTTAAAATTTCAGAAAATATATCATTTTCCCTTTTCATAGGAGGAGGAGAGGGATAGAAAAAGGTAGTAGGAAGGCATTAATGAAGGGAATAGTACAAAATCTAAGTGATGGGAGGTTGTTGGTTAACATTTAGATTAGCAAATTAGTAAATTTTTTCTTTTGTTTTAGAGATACTGAATCATCCATTCGAATTATGTGACCTTCCATTTAAACCTTTCAGTGTAAAGAATGGTGTAGGCCGGCCAGGCGCAGTAGCTCACGCCTGTAATCCCAGCACTTTGGGAGGCTGAGGCAGGTGGATTACAAGGTCAGGAGTTCAAGACCAGGCTGGCCAAGATGGTGAAACCCCATCTCTACTAAAAGTATTTAAAAATTAGCCAGGCATGGTGGCGGACACCTGTAATCCCAGCTACTCGGGAGGCTGAGGCAGAGAATTGCTTGAGCCCGGGAGGCAGAGGTTGCGGTGAGCTGAGATCACACCACTATACTCCAGCCTGGGCGACAGAGCAAGACTCCATCTTAAAAAAAGAAAAGAAAAGAATGGTGTAGGCAGTGCTACTGTCTCAGCAAGATGCGTCATTTCAGCTCTTAATTTATTTAGAGAAAACTACTGACATTGGAGGTGAGGAAAAATATCAGGGAAAGGCCATAAACCACCAGTCTGTTTGAGGGTGCACATTTGGAACAGGTGCCAGAAAGTCACCTAACTTCTTTGGCCTCGGTTTTTTCATCTGCAAAATTAAAAGGCTGGATTCAAAGATTACATCAGGCTTTAGGAATCATTGTTGATCATCTGGCTTTGAATGGAGGAAAATCAATTTATTTTATTTTACTTTATTTTTTTATTTTATTTTATTTTATTTTTGCCAGAGTCTCTCTGTGTTTTGTCTAGGCTGGAGTGCAGTGACACGATCTTGGCTCACTGCAGCCTCTGCCTCCTGAGGTCAAGTGATTCTCCTGCCTCATCCTCCCGAGTAGCTGGGATTATAGGTGCATGCCACCATGCCCAGCTAATTTTTGCATTTTTAGTGGAGACAGAGTTTCACCATGTTGGCCAGACTGGTCTCAAACTCCTGACCTGAAGTCATCCTTCCACCTCAGTCTCCCAAAGTGCTGGAATTACAGGTATGAGGCACCATGCCAGGCCTCATTTTGAGTTTTTATTGAACTTAATTTAGAATTTATGTATGCTGCTTGCTAATTGGTATCTAACATGAAGAGCAAAGATCAAAAGAGAAAAACAAAGACCCAACTGGTTGCTTTCCCCTTTTCCCTTACTTTGCCATCTAGATCAAAGAACAGTATGAATTTTCCTCTTGGTGACCTAGGGGTGGGGGAGCCGGGGAGAAAAACACAGTGAAGCTTCCTATTTTGTTTATTGACTTCCACTCCATGTCTTGTGTTCAACCATTAATGTAATCAATATTATTTTTATGTGATGGGCTGCAATTTTGGCACCCCACCCCCCAATCTAGAAGCACAACCTTCTTTTTTAACTAACGACCTTGTCCTGATTAAGAGAGTGTGTACAGTAAAGGTAAAATACTGTTTAGAGTCCTACTACAGATACCTGAGGGATAATCAGAACTTTATACATATGCTTTGGCCTCTTGAATTTTCTATATCTACTTGAAAAATATTTAAAATATTTATTCAAAATAAATTCCAAATGTGAAGTATAAACAAACTCAAAAAAACATTTCTTCTGATTTCTGTCACCTCTTTTTCTCAACTCAAAAATATCTTGTGTGAACTCTTAATTATTCAAAGGTCAATCAAGTGCACAGTTATATATGCACTTGCCTCTACCACCTCTCTCTGTCTCCTGCATTAGGTATAATGATGTCTGAAATGGTTTTGCTCTGGGAGGTTCAGTGAATTTTGAGTAAAGTTAAAATTTGTGGATTATCTGTGAATTGGATTGATTTTGCCAGTTTCATCCTATTGGGAGATACTACAGCTGCTGGTTTTTAGTGATTATTGTCAATTCTAAATTACAGATATTAGAGCAGTGGAGTGGCAAAGAAAGTTCAAGTGCATTCAGTGAGCATTTTACCTAATACCATGTATGTGTAAGGCCTTACGAATCTGGGCACCCTTACCCACATAGGAATGCCTAATGGATGCCAAATGTTAGAAAATCATATTCAGATTATAATATATTGCTGAGACCCAGAGAAAATTTTCATATATATTAAGTATGGTATAAAAATAATCATATACGGGAAAATGATGGAAAAAGAGGTTATTTTTAAAGAATAAGAAATTCTAAACCTTGCAAAGATTAACAAAAGGCGCCATAATCTATGCTTTTGTTTGTAATAGTTGGCAAGACTTTCTTTTCTTTTTGTAGAAACAGGGTCTTGCCGTGTTTCTCAGTCTTGTCTCGAACTCCTGGGCTCAAGCAGTCTTTTTGCTTTGGCCTCCCAAAGTGCTGGGATTATGTGTGAGCCACTGTGGCTGGCAAGAATATTTTAGAACATACAGTTTCTTTATTTTAAACCTTTCTATTTTCTCTTTCAGGCTAATTTGTGTTTTGTGGACATTGACAACCATTTTATTGAGTTGCCTGAAGAATTTCCACAGTTCCCCAATAAAGTGGATTTTATCCAAGAACTCTCTGAGGTTCTTGTTCAATTTGGGATCCCTCCTGAGGGCAGCCTACATTGCAGTGAGAGTACCAGCAAACTGAAGAATATGGTTCTGAAAGACTTGGTCAATGACAAAAAGAACGGCAATGTCTCCACTAATAGCATCAGCATGTATGAGTTACTGAAGGGCAATGAAACCATAGCCCGCTTGCAGGCTCTGGCCAAGCGGACTGGTGTGGCTGTGGAAAAAATGGACCTTTCTGCTTCTCTGGGTGAAAAAGACAAGGATTTAAAACTGCAGTGTGAAGAGGCAGAACTAAGGGACTACCAGCTCAATGTACAGCTCCGAGAGGTCTTTGCTAACCGCTTTACACAGATGTTTGCAGATTACGAAGCGTTTGTCATTCAGACTGCTCAGGATATGGAATCCTGGCTGACCAACCGGGAACAGATGCAGAACTTTGACAAAGTAAAAAGAACCATAGTTTTCCTTTTGTGGTTATTAGTGGCTTTATTATTGATATTTTAAATTTTTAAGTTTTTTCTTCTTCTGTGCCTGTGCTTATCCATATATTATTGATTTTGTTAACCTTTTTTAAATGCAGACTTTTCATCTTCCAGCCCATTAGGAACTTTGCTTTACCAAGTATTTTTACATTAGGTAAAATAATTTTACAAGAAAGCAAATCAACCAGCTCATTGAGCTGGTCATTAAATTGTGTGTTAAATTGCCTGTAATCTTATTTAAACTTTTTCTTTACCTTAAAGATGCTTAAATTATAGAAACAGGCTGGGTATGGTGGCTTATGCCTGTAATCCCAGCACGCTGGGAGACCGAGGCGGGCGGATCATGAGGTCAGGAGTTTGAGACTAGCCTGGCCAATATGGCAAAACCCCGTCTCTACTAAAAATACAAAAAATTAGCCGAGCATGGTGGCACACACCTGTAATCCCAGCTACTCAGGAGGCTGAGGCAGGAGAATCACTCGAACCCAGGCAGGGAGGTGGAGGTCGCAGTGAGCCGAGATCACGCCACTGTACTCCGGCCTGGGCAACAGAGACTCCAGCTCAAAAAAAAAAAAAAAAAGAAAGAAGTTATAGAAACTTACATTTTGCAGGTTTTCCAAATCTGTTAATACTGTTTGACCTTGTAACAGTTCTATTTACTCTTATTTTATGATCAAGTATAGTTAAATAAGCCTACTCCTTTTCTATGAAATCTATTTATTTAGTCTAGAAATCATTTATTTAGTCTTTATCCTATCAGAATCACAACTTGTCCATGTAAAGTTAACAGTTTGGTTTCAGAAGCCAAATTTCTCTATCTCATTCTAAGATCAAAGGAGAAAAAGAGTGACTAAATTAGGTTTTATGACTGTAAGTGTAAAACGGTTCCAAAGATTTTGGAAAGGGAAGTCAGAAAATAATACCAGCTTTCCTTGTCCTGTGATTTCTAAGGGGTACTGGATTCTTCTGCCAGTTTTTTTTTCACCTATCTCCCAGATTTTATTTTTCAGACAGGTGCACTTAGGGTTGTATGTTAACTCTTTTAGGTCACCAGGGTGTAGTTTAGTTCTCTGCCTCTGTGATTGCTGAGGTATAATACTTGTATTGGAATGTATCATGGATTTCACTAAGTGGCCTCTCTTATGTCATGAAAGGCCTTCTAAAGGGGCTGATGCATTCCAAGAGGCTAATTTACAATATTGGAGAATTTTTGGAAATAATTAAAAATTTTCATAAAGGTACATAGTGGCTGGGCATGGTGGCTCACACTTGTAATCTCAACACTAGGAGGTTGAGGCTGGAGGATCATTTGAGGCCAGGAGTATGAGACCAAGCCTAGGCAACATAGTGAGAACTCATCTCTACAAAAAATTTTAAAATTAGCCAGGCACAGTGGTGTGCACCTGTGGTCCCAGTGACTCTGGAGGCTGAGGTGGGATCACTTGAGCCTGGGAAGTTGAGGCTGCAGTGAGCCAAGATGATGCCACTGCACTCCAGCTTAGGCTAGAGAGTGAGACCCTGTCTCAAAAAAATAAAAGATAATTTTTTTACTTCATCAGATATTTTTTCTGTTGGAGGATAATACTGTATGTTGAACAGTTATGTTCTGGTGTGCTTTGTTTTTCCCCACATCAGACAGGGAATGTGCCAACATGGTAACAAAGTTTGAGGAAGGTATATCTCACACATGAGCATGAAAAGCCAGTTATTACATTTATGAACTACAAAAGCATCCTGGTGCACTTATGTTTGAGAAAACTTCTTTAATATTAACAAGACTTCACTTCTTTAAGTGTATGCCCTTAGGTTCCTTTCTCATTAGACTCAACAATTTTTCATACTTTTTCCTATCTATCTTAGAACTAATCTGTGTATATCCATGGTTTATCCTTGGGGCAATTCAAATTCTTACCTAAATGAAACCCTGATACTTCCTTCCTTCCTAATCTTTAGGTAGCCTCAAACTATATAAATGGAATTCTTTTTATATAACCCCTAAAGAAATGAAAATTTTCTGTTGGATTCCAGAAGGCTTGTAATTACCTTCACTAGGAAAATTTGCAGGACATACTAGTCCTACAAGCCAAATCTTTGATGACCTAAAATTTTATAGTCTGTGAGCGTCTGAATATCAAAAGCCAGATCTTTGGCCCACTTTTTTTAAAAAAGGCTATTTGATGTATGAAAAGTAAGATGTTTATTGGTGGAGGTGAACTGATTTCTAGAGACTACTGTGAATCTCTGTGGTTATTTGGATTTATGTATATACACCTGAACTATGGAACTACTTAAAGTGAATAAGTGGATTTCTCTAAGGAAATTTTAAAAAGACCTCCTAAATTTCAGAATGAAAATAAATATGCTAGCAACAAGCTGATGAGTATTTTTAAAAGTCACCTTATGTCAGAACTTACTCCCTTTCCCCTTTCGCCTTCTAGCTTTTGCCATACAAAAATAAAAACCAACCCAGCAACCAAAATAGGAATTTACTTCTAAATTTACTTCCAGATTTTAGTACTGCATTGAGTCTAGAATTCGTGTACACACATGAACATGGAAGAACAACAACAAAAAAAATGACACTTTGAATTAGGAACTGATTACGATGTACTGAACCATCCCATGCATCAGACAGGCTAGTAACAGGAAAGGTGTACAGCTTATTATACATGTTCTCCAAAGGCTTGCTTCTGATGGTTTTTCAGGCAGTGCTTTGGTTTTTTTGTTTGTGTTTTGGAAACGGGGTCTCACTATGTTTCTTCAGGCTGGCCTCGAACTCCTGGGCTCACAGGATCCTCTGGCTTCAGCCTCCCTAGTGGCTAGGACTATAGGTGGCCACCACCATGCCCAGCTTCCAGGCAGTGCCTTTTTTAGTTGTTAAGGCTGGGACTGTTGTGTCAGCACAGGTGTGGAAGGAATTTGACCTTGGCTTAACGCTCATCTATTGATTTCTCACAGAGTTAAAGAGTCTAGAAAAGCATTCACTTGAAGAAGAACAAAAGAATTTCACCCATAAGCATAAATTCCATGTATTTTTTTTTAAGATTAATGCTGATATGTTTATTGTATCAGTTAATCATCTCACTACCTATGGCTTGAAAGTATATTTCATAGGCTAGGAATAGAGAACAGAAGAAATTACAACCCATTGGGGAAAGGGATAAAAATTTTTAACTGCAAGTGAAGTGGATGATTGACAATTGTATAGCAACTTCTCTGCCATCTTTCATTACTGATGCCCTCTGTTATACATAATGGTCATAAGGATCAGAATGTAAATCGATTTTGTAAAATAAGATCAGTGCTAAAGACCTAAGTGACCTACATTTTCTGAATTTAGGAAAATGGAAAGAAAAGTGGATTTTTAAGGATTTTTGAATTTCAAGTGTCAGTTTTATAAGATTTAAAAAGAATGTCCTGAGTTAACATAATTTTCAGGCTTATCATGTAGTGTTGAGATGATCTCTTTGCACTAATAATTTCCTAATTATCTCATTACAGGCTTCCTTTCTGTCTGACCAGCCTGAGCCTTACCTGCCATTTCTTTCACGCTTCATTGAAACACAGATGTTTGCCACCTTTATTGATAATAAAATTATGTCTCAGTGGGAAGAGAAAGATCCTTTGCTTCGGGTCTTTGACTCTCGGATTGATAAGATAAGGCTGTATAATGTAAGGGCACCCACCTTGCGGACATCTATATATCAGAAATGCAGCACTTTAAAAGAAGCAGGTACATTTGCCATGCCTTTTAAATTAAATTAAAATCCATGATCGCAAATTGTTGCGATCGCAAATTGTTGGCCTTATGTACAACAAAATTAATTTTCGGTTTTAGACTTCATGGCTAATCCTGGTCCGATTATCACAAAATGCTTTGTAAATTTTTGTTTCTGTTTCTGAGTCCCACTCCTACTTGACTTTCCTTATCTCTTAGTCAGAAGAGGAAAAACAATAATAAATTGAATCAAGTATGACTGGAAGGTTGCTACGATTTTTGTTTTTGTTTTTGTTGTTTTTGTTTTTGAGATGGATCTTGCTCTATCACCCAGGCTAGAGTACAGTGGTGCGATCTTGGCTCACTGCAACCTCCGCCTCCTGGATTCAAACATTTCTCCTGCCTCTACCTCCCAAGTAGCTGGGATTACAGGCATGCGCCACCATGCCTGACTAATTTTTGTATTTTTTATAGAGACGGGGGTTTCACCATGTTGGCCGGGCTGGTCTTGAACTCCTGACCTTAGGTGATCTGCCCTCCTCAGCCTTCCAAAGTGCTGGGATTACAGGTGCGAGCCACCGTGTCCAGCCTAACTTTTGTTTTATTCTCTTTATTGTCTAATGGAAAAATTTTTAATTTCTGTCTTGCTACTTATGTTTCCTTTTTACTTCTCACCTCTTCTCTATATCCAAGAAAGGGTAAGTATTTATTTAAAACAGTAAATCTTAGATTCTGCTTAATTTACATACTAAAACAGTATCTTTGCTTTGGTAGTGCCATTAATTATAATAGCTTCATTTATTGAAATTAAATCTGAGTCAGGCCGGGCGTGATGGCTCACACCTTTAATCCCAGCACTTTGGGAGGCCTAGGCCAGCGGATTAGTTGAGGTCAGGAGTTCAGAACCAGCCTGTCCAACAGGGCAAAACCCCATCTCTACTAAAAATACAAAAATTAGCCACGTGTGGTGTCGTGCGCCTGTAATCCCAGCTACTAGGGAGGCTGAGATAGGAGCATCACTTGAACCTGGGAGACGGAGGTTGCAGTGAGCCAATATGGCACCACTGCATTCCCGCCTGGGCAACAGAGCGAGACTCCGTCTCAAAAAAAAAAAGAAAGAAATTAAGTCTTAGCCAGTCTCGTCTAGGAGTGTAATATAGTCCATTAAATAAATAATCATATTAATAGCCAACATGAGTATTTGCTATGTCAGTCAGCATGCCAGGTGTTGTTCATGAATTTTTTTTTTTATTTTTTCTTTTGAGACAGGGTCTCACTTGTTGCCTAGGCTAGAGTGCAGTGGCGCCATCATGGCTCACAGCAGCCTCAACCTCCTGGGCTCAGGTGATCTTCCTACTGCAGCCTCCTGGGGAATGGGTGCTACAGGCATGTGCCGCCACCCTTGGGTGATTTTTTTTGTAGAGACAGGGTTTCACCATGTTACTAAGGTAATTATCTTATCTTGGTTGGTCTTGAATTCCTGGGCTCAAGCGATCCATCTGCTTCAGTTTCCCAAAGTGCTGGGATTACAGGTGTGAGCCACTGTGACTGGCCCAGCACCCGTTTTTTTTTTTGAAACAGAATCTCACTGTCACTCAGGCTGGAGTGCAGTGGTGCCATCTCGGCTCACTGCAACCTCTGCTTCCTGGGTTCAAGTGATCCTCCCACCACAGCCTCCCAAGTAGCTGGGACCACAGATGCACACCACCATGCTCGGCTAATTTTTTGTATTTTTGGTAGAGACAGGGTTTCACCATGTTGCTCAGGCTGGTCTCGAACTCCTGAGCTCAAACAAAACACCTGCCTTGGCCTCTCAAAGTGCTAGGATTACAGGCATGAGCCATCATGTCCGGCCTGGAATACTTATTTTTATTTCGTTTTATTACTGCCCTTATTTTACAGTTGAGAAAACTGAGAGGTTAAGTAACTTGCCTGTGGTTGCATAGCTGGTGATTGGTCGAGCCATGGTTTGAATCCAGGTCTGACTGATTTCTGGCACAGGAAGCCTTAACATCATGTTAGCTCTTCATTCAAGAAAGAACTATGTAAAATGTACTAGTCCACACTTATTTTATACAATTATGCCTGGTCCCTAACCTGTTCTTTGCCACATAAGCAGATACCTGTCACCTGATGGCCCTCCCTTTTGTTTCTTTCCCTTCAAATGTTGGAGTTATTTGATAGCAACTTTTCCTCTGGAGAAAAAGGAGAGGCAGCAAATGTGGAACTTCCTTGATCTGCCTGTCTTGCTTGCTTGCCTTTCCCACTTCACTTAAATAGATCAAAGTCAGGAATGATGATGCTGAAGCGTTAGTGTATGTAAGGGAGAAGTATGTAAATGATGTCTTTTATGTAACCATAGAAACATCACCCTGTCATATTCCCACGAATCAGGGTAGATCCTTGGAGCCCCTTCAGGAAGTGGCAATTACCTATGTGGTTTTGGAAATTTAGGAAGTAGAGTTAATGAAATTGTCTATCCTTGTTCAGAGAATAAAATGAATTCCAGTGCCTTAATAGCCATTTGAATAGCATAATGCCTTGTTGCACAAATTTCATTTCTCGCTTCCTGATGGAATTTTTTAGATGGAACTAAGCACCAATACCTTAATTGTGTGCTTCCAGAAAGTCTTTCCAATTAAAATAGATTTTCTTTCAGCCTCTCAGACAGTTTGGTACTCCCACTGTCATTGCAGAAATTATATAATACTCTTGAAAATATACCACTGTGGCCAGGCACAGTGGCTCACGCCTGTAATCCCAGCACTTTGGGAGGCCGAGGAGAGCAGATCATCTGGGGTCAGGGGTTCGAGACCAGCCTGGCCAACGTGGTGAAACCCTGTCTCTACTAAAAATAGAAAAATTAGCTGGGCATGGTGGTGGGTGCCTGTAATCCCTGTTGCTCGAGAGGCTGAGGCAGGAGAATCGCTGGAACCCAGGAGTTGGAGGTTGCAGTGAGCTGATATTGCGCCATTGCACTCCAGCCTAGACTCTATCTAAAAAAAAAAGGAAAAGGGGCAACATAAACTGATTCTATGAAATATTTATAAAGGCACCTTGTTTTTCTCTTAAGTCACAAAATTAGCAGCTCCCACAGTGTGTTCTGTTTATCACACAACTACCATTACTGCTTGTTCTCCCCTTTTAAGTAATCTCCAGGCAGAGGATCGGAGACCTAGTCTTGCTTCTAAAATATTATATTTGCTCTTGACAATTCAGTTGATTAAAATGTTTAAGATCAGGTTTTATTTATTTGTTTGTTTACCTGAGAAATAGGTCACTGTTTCTGGGGTCTTTGAGACATCTTCCAACATCCCTGACTTTTAGTGGCTTTAAAATAGAAATGTTTAATAATCACATCTTAACACTGACCTATTTTTTCTTCCAAAGGCCAGTTTCTTATCCTCTGAACATTCTAAATGCCTGGTTATTTAACTTTTGCTGTATTACCCTCTTGATCTAATAAACACTCGTAAATGACTCCTACTAATGAGAATGTGACTGCTGCTAAAAGTGAGGTAATAAACTTCACACCGTTGCTTGTTTTTACAGATGGAGAACCATGAATATTTAATAGGTCTTTGTACAAAGAAGTAAAGTTAATAAGGCCATTGTGCATGTGTCTTCTCTTTAACTTGTATTTCAGCTCAAGAAAAGTACTTTATTTGCTATCATTTTCTTTAATGTTGTACTTAGAACCGTATTTTTGTGTAAGAATATTGAATTTTTCACTTAAGGGAAACTGTTTCAATACAAAATTGTAGGTTTTTCAGCCCCGCTGCCCTGATTTTGACAAAGGCAGAAAATACCATGAAAATCAATCATCCAATATTTACTTAAAGTTAACGTTTTTATACTTACATTATACTAATTTCTGAAGAGCCTTTGTAAAAATCTATTTCAAGACCGGGCGCGGTGGCTCACGCTTATAATCCCAGCACTTTGGGAGGCCAAGGAGGGTGGATCGCCTGAGGTCAGGAGTTCGAGACCAGCCTGACCAACATGATGCAACGCCATCTCTACTAAAAATACAAAATTAGCTGGAACTGGTGGCGCATGCCTGCAATCTCAGCTACTTGGGAGGCTGAGGCAGGAGGATCATTTGAACCCGGGAGGCGGAGATTGCAGTGAGCCAAGATTGTGCCATTGCACTCTAGCCTGGCCAATAAGAGCGAAACTTTGTCTCGAAACATACACGCATGCACGCGCGCATGCACACGCACACACACACACAGTCTGTTTCAGAGTGTCGGAGTGATTGGGTTCTCTGTAGGTGCATGAGTGGAGGAAGCATTATTTTTGAAGGGCTAGCAATGAAATGTCTCTAATTTATTATAAATTTAATTTATAGCCCAATCAATTGAACAGAGACTGATGAAAATGGATCACACTGCAATCCACCCACATCTACTTGATATGAAAATTGGTCAAGGCAAATATGAGCAGGGGTTCTTTCCAAAGTTACAGTCCGATGTCTTGGCAACAGGACCAACCAATAACAAGTAAGCATGTTCTTCACTTGAGTAGTTGGTTGAAGGAATGAATGAAGGGTGGGGTGCTCTGCAACTCAAATGGACAATGCTTAACTATTAAACATCTATCTGATTACTTTTTTCAAGACCACATTAATGCATTTAAAATATGGATTGACACTTCTGTGAGTGCTTGACCTTTAAATCCATCATTTAAAAAAAACCAAAGTCTAGAGATTTTTTTTTCTTTTTCAAGCAAAGTACACTTGGAAAAGCCACACTTTAAATGGCGATTTAAATATAATGATAATACTATCTAATGGAATTTAGAAAGGTTACACCTTTATCATCTGTATTAGTTTCCTAGGGCTGCTATAACAAAGAACCACAAACTCAGTGGCTTAAAACAACAGAAATTATTCTTCCACAGTTTTGGGAGGTAGAAATTTGAAATCAAGGAATTGTCAGGGTCGTGCTCCCTTTGAGGCTTCTAGGGAATGATCCTTCCTTGCCTTTTCCAGCTTTTAGGAGAACATAAGAGAGTTTAATAACAGCCTGTCACACCAGTCTAATGAGATCCTTCCAGATTAAAGAGCCTTCAGATGTCTCACCTCTGCCTTAAACTGGGTTTTGTTAAGAGGAGTGGTTCCAGAGAAGACAGGGTAGTACTTTGGGTAGCAAGATACATTCTTAGGCTCCATCTTCCCTCTTGAAGAGCTAAAGAGAAAATTTTTTGAAAAGAAAATTTTTAGTATTAGTATCCTTTTAAATACTTAGAAAAGGAACACCAAACAGTAAAGTGAAAGAGTTGTGGCCAGGCATGGTGGCTCACGCCTGTAACCTGAGCACTTTGGGAGGCCGAGGCAGGCAGATAGCTTGAGCCCAGGAGTTGAGGACCAGCCTAGCCACTGTGGCGAAACCCTGTCTCTACAAAAAAGATACAGAAATTATCTGGGCATGGTGGTGTGCACCTATAGTCCCAGCTCCTACTCAGGAGACTGAGGTGGGAGGATCACTTGAGCCCCGGGAGGTTGAGGCTATGGTGAGCCGTGATTGTACTACTACACTTCAGCCTGGGCAACAGAGAGAGGCCCTGTCTCAAAAAATAAAAATAGTATTAAAAAGAATTGTAGATTAAAAACAACAACAACAACAACTTCATTTGGAACTGGGTGTGGTGGCACATGCCTGTATCCCTAGCTACTTGGGAGGCTGAGGTGGGAGGATCACTTGAACCCAGCAGGTGGAGGTTTCAGTGACCCATGAGCACCACTATTATCCAGCCTGGGCAACACAGCGAGGCCCTGTCTCAAAAAAAAACTTGGGCCAGGCACGGTGGCTCACGCCTGTAATCCTGGCACTTTAGGAGTACGAGGCAGAAAGATCACTTTGAGCCCAGGAGTTTGAGACCAGTGTGGGCAACATAGGAAGACCCTGTCTCTACAAAAAAAATACATGTTTTTTTTTTTTTTTTTTTTGAGACAAGGTCTCACTCTGTTGCCCAGGCTGGAGTGCTATGGCCTGATCCTGGTTCACTGTAGCCTTGACCTCCCCAGGCTCATGTGATCCTCCTGCCTCAGCCTCCCAAGTAGCTGGAACTAAAGGCACATGCCAACACACCTAGCTAATTTTTGTATTTTTTGTAGAGACAGGATTTTGTCCTATTGCCCAAGCTGGTCTTGAACTTCTGGGCTCAAGCAACCTGACCTCCTTGGCCTCCCAAAGCGCTGGGATTGTAGGTGTGAGCCACCGGGCCAAGCTCCTACAAAATTTATTTTTTTAATTAAGCCGGGTGTGGTGGCTCATGCCTGTAATCCCAGCACTTTGGGAGGCCTAAGCGAGTGTATCACTTGAAGCCAGGAGTTAAAGACCAGCCTGGTCAACATAACGAAACCCCATCTCTACTAAAAATACAAAAGTTAGCTGGGTGTGGTGGTGCATACCCAGCTACTTGGGAGGCTATAATGCCAGCTACTTGGGAGGCTGAGGCATGAGAATCGCTTGAGCCTGGGAGGCAGTCAGGCATGCTGGCATGCGACTATAGTCCCAGCTACTGATGAGGCTCAGGTGGGAGGATCACTTGAACCTGAGAGGTCTAGGCTGCAGTGAGCCGTGATGTGATGGCATCACTGCACTCCAGCCTGGGCGACCTTGCAAAGACCCTCTTTCAAAAAAACAAAAACAAAAAACCCTTCATTTGATTGACCTTTCATTTAAAAGGCTGTCTCAACTTTAATGAAGACAGTATTAGAGGATGGTTCACTAGAAATATGGAAAAGTTATATATTCAGAATGAAATTTTCTCCTCTTGTAGAAAATGCAAATGTTTATACTAAAGTCTTGGGGAGGAAAATTGTTCAAGAGGATTTAACATGCTACTTACAAGACAGAAGCAAATAACTAATGACTGAAATTTTTATTGTACTTACCTTAGTTTGCAGGGTTTCACCCTCCAGTGAAGGGCTGGCCCTGCTTTTATACACACGGAACTTAAAAACTGTGCTAAGAAGTGAGACATGGTGGCACTCCCCAGTACTACCTACTAGGAGGCTGAGGAGGAAGTATTTCTTGAGGCCAGGAGCTAGAAGCCACAATGTGCAATGATTGTGTCTGTGAATAACCTCCAGCATAGGCAACATAGTGAGGTTTCATCTTTATTTTAAAAAATAAATAAAGAAAAGAAAAGAAATGCACTAATAGATATTGATGGTTGTTAGGGTTCAAACTTTACAGATAATGATATTAGATACAATGTTCTATTTTTCAGAAGTGGATGATAACTAGGAGAATTTTCCATAAGGCAGATTAGCCATCAGTTTATTTATTTTTTCTTTTATTTGTGAAGTATTCTAATTGTTCAAATCACTTTGATCTGGATAGACTATTAGTTTAACAGTTTTTGTTTTCTTTTTGTTTTGTACGGAGTCTCGCTCTGTTGCCCAGGCTAGAGTGCAATGGCACGATCTCAGCTTACCACAACCTCCACCTCCCGGGTTCAAGTGATTCTCCTGCCTCAGCCTCCCCAAGTAGCTGGGATTACAGACATGCACCACTACGCCAGGATAATTTTTTTTTTTTTTTTTTTTTTAGTAGAGATAGGGTTTTACCATGTTGGTTAGACTGGTTCTGAAATCTTGACCTCAAGTGATCCTCCTGCCTCAGCCTCCCAAAGTGCTGGGATTACAGGCGTGAGCCACTGCGCCCGGCTCTTTTGATGGCATTAGATTGTTCATTTATTCATTTGGCAAATATTTATGGAACTCCTACTATATGTGAGGGCTGTCCTAGTTACTAGGAGTTTATTAATGAACAAAACAACAAAAATCTCTGCTTTCAAGTGCAAATAAACAGAAAAAGGAACTTAATATGTCAAATAACGTGTCAGATGGTAAGAGGTATGAAGAAAAACAAAGTGGGAAAGAAAAATCGGGAGTGCTTAGGAAGGAGGAGTTTAATTTTGAAATCTTATAGCCTTGTTTTCTTGTTTTTGCCTTATATATAATCTTACGGTTTCCCATTTCCACACTAAGCCTCAGTCATTACATTTCAGGTAGATATAGTCCAGAGAAAAGATCCTCCTGCCCCAGCCTCCCAAGTAGCTGGGACCACAGGCACATGCCACCATGCCCAGCTAACTTTTTGTGTTTTATAGAGACAGGGTCTCCCTATGTTACCCAGGCTAGTCTTGAACTCCTGGGCTCAGTGATCCTCCTGCCACAGTGTCCCAATTGTGGGGTAAATGGATTTATAACCATGCCTGTATATATGGTGGATCAACTGTTAGAGAGAACTTCATATGCTGTTTACAAGACAGAACCAAATAAGCAGTCTTTAGTATTTCAGCAGTTGTGATTATCATTGGTAAAATTATGCTCAGTAAATAAAGTTTAATGCAAAGAATAAATTACTTACTTAACAAGACCAGGAATGTGTGGACTTCATAGCAATTTTCTTAAGCAGTGCTCATTTCCCTGTTTTGAAAATAAAATTAAGTAGGCCATTTTGTCCCACAGAGCATATAATAAGAGCTGGTTATATTTAAGTTAATCTTTATCCTTTTCTGCCTGCCAAGGGCACAGTTTTATGCCATTTATATTTTTGCGCCTTACTTTGGTTTGTTATTATAAGTCCATTAGTTAGTATTTATATTCTGTTTCATGTTTTTACTATTTATTTGGACTATCTTGCCCATTAACCCTAATTTTTTAAATTCCTGAGCAAACTTTGTGTTATACTGACTTTTTTTGCTACAGGGCTATTTTCAAGGCCTCCATATCAAATATCTACACCCAGGTGTTTGTACATTTTGTTGTTTATATTCTGTTCTTTCCCCTTAAAGATCTTCAGGTTGTATTTGTATTCTGTTTCAGAATCTTAACGTGTTTTTTTATGGATCATAATTTTCATTCACCCCCGATTCTTTTTGTATCCTTTTTACAGTCTTACATTGATCTTTTGCTTTGGAGACATTTCCAAGGATTCCACTTCAAAGATCTGTAACTAGATCTTTGCACATTTTTCCCTGATATAAACCATAAACCTATTTCTCTTCTTAAGAAACTATTTTGAGAGGGGCTACCTTCCTTGATACCATTGTAACAATGATTATCCAGTGTTCCCCTAAGTAACTGACTGAAATAAGATTATTCACAAGCTTCATACCAAAGGCATATGTAATTTTTTTTTTTTTTTCTTTTTTTAGAGACAGGGTCTCATTATGTTGCCAGGGCTGGAGTGCAGTGGCATGATCATGGCTCACTGCAGCCTCAACCTCTTGGGTACAAGTGATCCTCCTGCCCCAGCCTCCCAAGTAGCTGGGACCACAGGCACATGCCACCATGCCCAGCTAACTTTTTGTGTTTTATAGAGACAGGGTCTCCCTGTGTTACCCAGGCTAGTCTTGAACTTCTGGGCTCAGTGATCCTCCTGCCACAGCGTCCCAAAGTGCTCGGATTAGATGAGCCACCATGCCCAGCTGTAAATTAGTTTTAAAGCAACAAAAGAAGCATTATTCTCATTTAAGCTTTTTC